ACAAACTCAATGAGTAGTCATTAATGGGTCTATGTCTACATGGAGGGAAATAAGCAATGGGGTACCACAAGGTTCTGTCTTAGGCCAGTACTCTTTAATAGGAGTACTGGTGGCTCAGCAGACTAATTAACATCCACTTACATCTGCTGCCTGCAATTACTGCAAGTTCAAATTTCACCAGGCTCAAGGTTGACTCAGCCTTCCATCCTTTCTAAGGTAGGTAAAATGAGGACCCAGATTATGGGGGCAATAAGCTGACTTTGTATAAATATACAAAAGTATGAAGGCTATTGCTTAATGCATTGTAAGCTGCCCTGAGTCTCCGGAGAAGGGCGGCATATAAATCAATTTTTTAAAAAAATCTTCATAAACAACTTAGATGAGGGAATAGAAGGGGAACTTACCAAATTTGCAGATGATACTAAACTGGCAGGAATAGCTAACACTCTAGAACAGTGATGGCAAACCTTTTAGGCACAGAGTGCCCAAACCGGAAGGAGTGTGTGCGCACCAAATCACCAGAAACCTGATGACCAGCTAGCCGGCGCACATGCATAACCCAACTACCAGCTGGCTGAGCTGGGGCAATGGCATGCTTGCCCACAGAGAGAGCTCTGCATGCCACCTCTGGCACGTGTGTCATAGGTTCGCCATCATGGCCCAGGAAGATAGGCTCAAGATCCAGATGGATCTTGACAGACTTGAACACAGGACCCTATCTAACAAAATGAAATTCAATGTAGAGAAAAGTAGTCTTACACTTAGGCAAGAAAAACCAAAAGTATACATATAGACTGGGTGAACCCAGGCTTAATAGCAGTAACTGTGAGAGGGATCTTGGCATCTTAGTGGACAACCAGTTAAATATGAGCCAGTAGTGTGCAACAGCAGCCAAAAAAGCCAACACAATCCTAAATTACATTAATAGAGGGATACAATCAAGATTGTGAGGTACTAATACCACTCTATAAAGTCTTAGTAAGACCACACCTAGAATACTGCATCCAGTTTTGGTCACCACACTATAAAAAAAGATGTTGAGATTCTAGAAAAAGCGCAGGGAAGAGCAACCAAGATGATTAGGGGACTGGAGACTAAAACGTATGAAGAATGGTTACAGGAACTGGGCATGGCTAGTGAAGTGGAAGACCAGGGGAGACATGATAGAAGTGTTCCAATATTTGAGGGGCTGCCAGAGAGAGAAAGGGGTCAAGCTATTTTCCAAGGCACCTGAAGGCCAGACAAGGAATAATGGATGGAAACTGATCAAGGAGAGATTCAACCTAGAAATAAGGAGAAATTTTCTGACAGTGAGAACAATCAACCAATGGAACAGCCTGCCTTTGGAAGTTGTGGGAGCTTCATCTCTGGAGGCTTTTAAGAAGAGGTTGACTGCCATTTGTCAGAAATGGTGTAGGGTCTCCTGCTTGGGCTAGATGACCTACAAGCAGTCATGGGACTCAGCCAGTTCACACCACTTCAGGAGAAACGATTGTTAACTTTCTGAGCAGTTTGGCAAACTGGTTGTTGGAAGAAATCATTAGGGCATAGAACCGGTTGTAAAATTACTTGAATTCCACCACTGCCTACAAGGTCCCTTCCAACTCTGTTAATCTGTAATCTGAACACTTTTATAAAAAATTAATTTGGATAACAAGTAAAAATAGAGGGGTTTGGTTATCTACAAATTACATCTATTACAATACTGTAGGTTTTGTGTTAATATTGCCCAATATCTATTCCTCTCACAACCAGCATCAAGTTAAAGTGTAGGTAATGCAGGAGGAAGGCCCAGATCCTGCTAGGTCCTGGTTCTGCATAATAAGTTTGGCCCAGTTATTCTTTCTCAGGCCAGCCAGCCTCATCTAGCAATTGTTACTGGAAAAAATGAGAGAAGATCTTCACATGCTTCATCTTAAATCCTCAGAAAAAGAATACAGCACATAAAATTGGTAGGGATTATGTTTAGTCCTCCAAATATACACATATACAACTACATTTTTAGAATTCTTTCTCTATTTTTTTCAGAAATATTCCTTTAGTTTCACAGCATGCCAGACAATGTGACCAACTTGGATAGTTTGGTGGTGGTATTTGATGCAAACTGATGAATGTATGGTGCCTCAGATATTGGAAGAACATATGTTTAAATTCACCAGAATTCAAGTTGTCTGAATGTTCCATTGTGTGAATTACAGAGATAGATGGTAGGTAGGTAGGTAGGTAGGTAGGTAGGTAGGTAGGTAGGTAGGTAGGTAGGTAGGTAGGTAGATAGATAGATAGATAGATAGATAGATAGATAGATAGATAGATAGATACCCATCAGTGGTTTGTAATTGGTGAAGACAAGCAGCTTTATAAAATCCACACCCCACCACAATCAAGGGAAGCTGCCAGGGTCACCCAACAATAATGGAAGGATCTCTGGAGCTAGAATGGAGAGCAGGAAAGTGATTGTTATCTCATTGTTGCATAAGTAGGGAAAGCTGGCAGTTTCCATACCCAGGGCATCAGAGCTTTGGATCTGAGTCAGTGTGGCTGAATAGAGATTGTTTGCCTCTGGAGAAATTGAAAGGAAAGAAATCTCATACAGCAGCATCACACACTTTGGGGACAGGAAACAACACATAAGGAAATCCACCTTTCCTGTGCTGCTTCCTAGAGATACTATTTGCATAGAAGTTTCTGATAGTTTATAACTCAGTGATGCTGAATGGCATTTTTTTCCAAACTAGAAAACTAGGGAATAATAATTTATAATCTGGCTATGTTCTTCTCATTTGAGATTGTTGCTTCACTTCAGTTTTAGCCAAGGTGCTCACTAAACATAGAAGCAGTCTATTTCCTTTCTCTGGTGTTCTGGGTTGTAATAGTGTGTTTGTACAAGTCTGAATAGTGTTCTTACACAGCAACTTTTGTGGGAGTGTAAGGTCCCAAAATGTACTTGAGTCACCAGAATGCCAGAGAGAAGCCTCAACACGAGGCTTCCAAAAAGAAGCAGATTTTATTTATGGCCAAAAACAAAATACTGGGTGGGACTATATCTAGAAGATATAGTTACAATGCATGTGAGGAAATAGCCACACCTTGAGGAAGGTATGGCGTCCTTTTATACCCTCAGAAACACCACCTTAGTACCCAATTCTGCCCCCCTGGCTCTTCCCTTCCTTTGGCAATGCAGCAAGGAAGGGGTGTGTGTGCTTCTTGAGATATCCATCAGGCACAGAGTGGTACAAGATAACAGGATAACATAGAGGTGAGATCACTGGTAGAAGCAAATGGCAGAGGTAATTCCAATCTTAGCAAAGCAATTCTTACAGAAGCAAAACAGCAAGTCAAACCAATTCTACTGACTCTACTATTATGTCCCACCAATTCTACATGTTCTATTATTATTATGTCCCTTCAGGAGCTTGGCTTGTTACTTTGGTAATGGAGCACTTGATTAGTGTGGATTGTTTTTTAACAGTTTCTTTAGATAGACAATTCAATAGACAAATACATAGGTACTCTATTAAAAAACAACCCATGATAACCAAGTAGTCCAATGGAACAGCTTGCCTCCTGGAGTTGTGGGTGCTCCATCACTGGAGATGACTGGAGCAGGGGGTTGAACTAGAAGACCACCAAGGTCCCTTCCAGCCTTGTGATCCTATGATTACTAAAGTAGCAACCCAGCCTTCCACACACTCCATTTATATACACACTCCAGGGGTGAAATCCAGCAGGTTCTGACAGGTTCTGGAGAACTGGTAGCAGACATTTTGAGCAGTTTGGAGAACCGGTAGCGGAAATTTTGAGTATTTCGGAGAACCGGCAAATACCACTCTGGTTGGCCCCAGAGTGGGGAGGGAATGGAGATTTTGCAATATCCTTTCCCCAGGAGTGGGGAGGAAATGGAGATTTTGCAGTATCCTTCCCCCAGGAATGGGGAGGGAATGGAGATTTTGCAGTAACCTTTCCCTGGAGTGGAGGGGGAATGGAGATTTTGCAATATCCTTTCCCCAGGAGTGGGGAGGGAATGGAGATTTTGCAGTATTCTTCCCCTGGAGTGGAGGGGGAATGGAGATTTTGCAATATCCTTTCCCCAGGAGTGGGGTAGGAATGGAGATTTTGCAATATCCTTTCCCCAGGAGTGGGGAGAGAATGGAGATTTTGCAGTATCCTTCCCCTGGAGTGGAGGGGGAATGGAGATTTTGCAATATCCTTTCCCCAGGAGTGGGGTAGGAATGGAGATTTTGCAGTATCCTTCCCCAGGAGTGGGGTGGGAATAGAGATTTTGCAGTATCCTTCCCCTGCCATGCCCACCAAGCCACGCCCACCAAGCCACACCACGCCCACAGAACCGGTAGTAAAAAAAATTGGATTTCACCACTGACACACTCCTTGTATGTAAATAGGAAGCAAATCCATATTCACTAGCACTGATGATATAACTAGTTGGGTAATGAAATGTTGGCAAGCAAACAACCAAGTTCAGAGAGCAGCAAGGATTCTACATTTTTTCACTTCTTGCCAAAGCACTTATCAATGATCAGACTGAAGCATCTTCTATTTTAATTTCTCAGACCAATTTCAGTACACGTAGAACTCAAGTTATGAATGTAAAGGAGCCTGCCAATTACATTCATAACCAGAGGATTCATAGAAGTGACTCTTGTAACTTGAACGTGATCACTCTTTGTTTTCACCCACACATTCACTAATCAAATGCGCAGGTTGTTAAGTGCATGAGATATCTCAGGGTGGGGAAGGCCATGGGGGGGCCTAGTGCTTTCCCCAACCCACTGAAATAAACTCATGCTTCCCACCCCCATCTTGCCCAAACAAGTCACTTACCTTACGTAGATTTCTATCAATGGAGCTGTCTACTCTCCAGCCTGTCTGCCATGGTTTTGTCTTGAGCAAAGGCTTGCTGAGGCCTACAAGGATGATGGCTGTACACGTGCCTCCAGGCCTCTGTTCTTGTCAGCAAAGGCCTTTCCTCAAGTCCCTTGACGATGGGAACTGAGCCCAGGAGGGGCATGCGCATCCCTCCGGCCTCCATTCTCATTGACAAAGGACTTGAGGAAACCTTTGCCGACAAGAACGGAGGCCTGGAGGGATGTGCGTGCCCCTCCTAGGCTCCATTCTCATCGGCAAAGGAATTGAGGAAGCCTTTGCCAATGAGAACTGAGGCCCGGATGGACCCACACACCCCTCCCAGCTCCATTCTCATTAGCAAAGGACTTGAGGAAAGGCCTTTGCTGACAAGAACAGATGCCTAGAGAGACGAGTGCGGCCATCCCAGCCTCCGTTCTCAACAGCAAAGGGTTTTTGAAAATATGGCAAAAGGCTTTGCAAATGGAGGGAAGGCTTCGGTGCTTCAGGCCTTCACTCCATTTGCAAAGCCTTTTGCTCCAGATCTCATCCAGACCTCCATTTGCAGAGAACAGAGGCCTAAAGTACCATGAGATCAGGTGAGATCAGTAACGTGAGATCTCACGCAACTGATCTCATGTGATCTTGTGGTACTTTAGGCCTCCATTTTCTGCAAATGCACCTCCATTCTCTGCAAGGCTTGAAGCACCGAACAGGCCAAGAAACTGAAGGCTCACTAGATCTTTGCAAGGTGAGTATCCACAGGCCTAGTACCTGTAGAGATCCAGCAGGGGTGGGGGGAGAATAGGCAGGGCAAATGTTGCAGAGCCTCTGCGGTCATTCTTATGTGTGAACAACTGCTATTGTGCTGCAACATTTGTAATTTCAGGACTGTGTCATAAGTACTTAGGGGGGTTGTTATGTATTGATACTTTTAAGCGGGAGATTCAAACCTGCCTATGTTTCTGATTGGCTGACAGTCCCTCCAGGATTGTATATAAGGAGGGCTGCAGCCTCTGAGTTTTTGCTGAAGTCTCACTGTAAATTAAAGAGCTGTTGTCACTTGCTTGGTTGTGCCTCTCGTTATTCCCAAACCACTTCATTGGCGATGAAGGTGGGATAGAGGTCACAGAAAGCGAACCAGTGAGACCACGAGCTTCAGCTAGGCGACGAGGCGAACTACAGGAGGCATACCGAACATGTCTGCCTACGTTCCGCCCAAGCCTTTTGATCCGACCCGCGAAAAATGGGTCTCGTACCTGACGAGGTTCGAATGCTCGCTCGAAGCCAGCGACATGCAAGGGCTCTCTGCTAATCGGAAGAGGGTCCACTGTGGACCGGACGTGTTCGAGATGGCAGAGTCACTGTGCGAGCCAACGCCGGTCCAGACCGTTTCCTGGGACACCCTGATGGCCACGCTCCGGGCTCACTATGCTCCCATGCCCTCCAAGTTCGTGCAACGATACCAACTCAGACAGCGCGTTCAGCAAGAGGGAGAACCGGTCAGCGCATACATGGCCAGCCTGAGAAAAGCCGCAACCCATTGCGACTATAGAGACTTGGACGATGCGTTGCTTGAGCAACTCATCTGTGGTGTCCGGGACATTAGGCTGCAACGGCGCCTGCTCGCCAAGCCTGATTTGACGCTTGCTGGAGCCCTAGACGAGGCCAGGGCTCATGAAGCCTCCAAAAAAGCCGCAGAAACGCTGCAGCGTCCACTGACCAGCAAAGACAACCCCAAGTCTGCCCCGGTGCACAGAGAAGACGCCGGATCCAGCTCGGAGTCCGAGTCGGATGAAGATGTCTTCCGAACGGAGCACCAGAGAAAGGACACAGGCAGCCCACAGCGAAGCTGTCCCAGCTGTGGAGGGCACCATGATAGACTGTCCTGCAAATACAGGGAGGCTATCTGCAGGCGTTGCGAGAAAAAAGGGCACTTGGCGCAAGTCTGTAGAGCCATTCTGCCCAGAAAACACCAACCACGTGAGCGCCGCAGCCAACCAGAATCAACGCGCCAGAAACAACCAACGAGAGAAGGCGGCGCGAAAAAACGGCACGAATTTGAACCTCGAGATGGCCGCAGCATTCACATAGACCAGGCCAGCGCGGAAATCGAGGACAAAGTCAGCACGGTGGTCGAAATCAACGGCAAGCCATGCTCGATGGAGATCGACACCGGATCAGCTCTCTCCATAATGTCATGGGCGACCCTAAAGACCCTCCTGCCGTCGTTCCGGAAGGACCAGCTCTCCAAACAGCGACTGCGCATCCTAGACTACCAGGGGAACCGAGTCCCCCTCGAGGGCGTGGGCACATTCCGAGTCACCTACGGAGACTACGAAAGAGACCTGCCACTGACCATCGTCACGAAGCAGCTTCCCAGCCTTCTCGGCATGGGGTGGTTCCGAGCCCTCGGCATGGGCTTCACCGGCGTCCACCAGATGCTCAAGTCATCGTTAAAAGACAGTCTCCTGACCAAGTTCCAGGACGTTTTCGGGGACACGTTGGGCAAGTATGTGGGGACCCCTATCTCTCTTAATCTAGACCCCAACGTAGCCCAAATAAGACTCAAGGCGAGACGGGTGCCCTTTGCATTGAAACCAAAGATCGATGCGGAACTGGACAAATTAATTAAACAAGGGATCTTGGTTCCCGTTGACCACGCAAAATGGGAAACCCCCATAGTGACCCCAGTCAAGTCGGACGGCTCAATTAGAATTTGTGCCGACTACAAGTGCACGATCAACAAGGCTTTGCAGCCGAGCGCCTATCCGGTGCCGATCGTGCATCATCTACTACACTCCCTGGGGCCAGGAAAAATTTTCGCCAAACTAGACCTGGCCCAGGCCTATCAACAACTTCCTGTCGATGATGCCACGGCTGAGGCACAGACAATAGTGACCCATAGGGGTGCATTTAAATGCACCAGGCTCCAGTTCGGGGTGAGCGTCGCACCCGGCCTATTTCAAAGCACCATGGAGTGCCTGTTGCAAGGGCTTCCCGGGGTGGTGCCATATTTCGATGACGTCCTAGTCAGCGCTCAGGACGAACAACAACTAGGGGACAGAGTTAGGAACGTCCTGTTCAGATTCAGGGAAGCGGGACTCAAATTAAAAAAAAACAAGTGTATGATAGCAGTCCCCTCCGTTGAATTTTTGGGGTACAGGGTGGATGGCACAGGCATCCACCCTACCGAAAGCAAGGTGAGAGCTATTAAGAGCGCACCTGCCCCCAAGACCAAAGCAGAGCTCCAAGCCTTCCTTGGACTGCTCAATTTTTACTCAATGTTCCTGAAAGACAAGGCTACTGTCGCAGATCCCCTACACAAGCTATTGGGGAAGAATGTACCATGGGTCTGGGGGAAACCACAAGCAGCCGCATTTGAGGCTGTAAAGAGACTTCTATCGGAAGACAGTTTCCTAATCCAATACAACGCGGCGCTACCGCTTGTATTGGTTTGTGACGCCTCCCCCGTAGGAGTTGGTGCCGTCCTAGGCCATAGACTGCCGAACGGCCTAGAGGCGCCCATTGTGTTTTACTCTCGCACTCTGTCAAGCGCAGAGCGGAACTATAGTCAATTGGACAGAGAGGCTCTGGCTGCAATTGCGGGGGTTAAAAAGTTCCACGAATACCTTTATGGCCGGCAATTCGAACTTGTGACTGATCACCGGCCCTTGCTAGGACTTTTGGCAGGCGACAGGCCCACCCCCGCTGCTCTTTCCCCACGTTTGACTAGATGGGCTATTTTTCTTTCGGCCTATTCATATCAGCTTGTACATCGACCCAGACGGACCCTGGGTCACGCGGATGCCCTCAGCCGCTGCCCCCTACCTGACTTACTGACCAACCCAACACCAGAGGCCTCCGTCCTTCTACTGGACACATTAACTTTGGGACCTATTTCCTCTGCCGAAGTGGCAAAAGCCTCAGCCAGGGACCCGATCATTCGCACTGTGATGGGGTGGGTGCTGAAAGGGTGGCCGGTCAAGGTGGACGGGGGGGACTACCAAGGTTTTGTAAACAAACGAAATGAACTGTTTACGCAAGGTGGTTGTTTGTTGTGGGGTGACAGGGTGGTAGTGCCAACGAAACTACGAATGAGGGTCTTAGAATTGCTGCACGAAGGGCATCCGGGCATTGTTAGAATGAAAAGTTTAGCCCGCAGTTACGTATGGTGGCCCAACATGGACCAAGTTATCTCTGAGTGGGTGGGGAAGTGCAGACCCTGCCAGGAGTCTCGCCCCGATCCCCCGGTAGCGCCCATCCGAGAGTGGGAGAAACCAAAAGGGCCATGGGGGAGGATCCATATTGATTTCGCTGGCCCCTTCCATGGGCAAACATTTTTAATTGTAGTTGATGCCTTTTCGAAATGGCTCGAAATAATTCTAATGCCCTCTACCACAGCCGAGGCAGTCATTAAAGCCCTTCGCAAGCTATTTGCCACACATGGCCTACCGGATACTCTAGTATCTGACAACGGCCCTCAATTCACAGCAACCCTATTCGAGGGTTACTTGGCCGGCCTGGGCATCCGCCATGCCCTATCGGCCCCGTTCCACCCGGCTTCTAACGGATTGGCCGAACGTTTTGTAAGAACGGCCAAAGAGGCCCTATCCAGACTAGATAACGGGGACTGGCAGGCCAGGATAGACCAATTCTTAGCTGTCCAGCATGCCACACCATGCACAGCCACAGGGAGAAGCCCAGCAGAGCTCCTCATGGGCAGGAAGCTTCGGTGCGTGTTAGATAGGCTTCATCCTAACTACTCGCACGAAAATTTCAAGGGAGAGACCTCTGGACTAAGACAGTTTCAGGTTGGGTCCCCGGTGTTTGCTCGCAACTATGCCAGCGGACCACTATGGGTTGCAGGAACCATAGTGGGCATAACGGGCCCGAAATCTTATACGGTAGACGTAGGGGTAGACAGACTCTGGAAGCGCCACATAGACCAGCTGAGGAAAAGGGTAGTCGGCGAAGCAAACATAAATTTAGACATATCCGAGCCTAACTATAACAACTTTCCCAAAACAGCTAACTCAAGCCCGGGTTCGCGAGAATACTTAGCTGACAAGCCCTGGTTCCAGCGCTGCCCCAGCAAGTCGCCACTCCCAACCGGGGATAACCACGCCCCGGACAAAATCCAGGAGGTTCCATTGGCGGAGCCGGGAGAGACAGAAAGTCCCTCCGACCAGCTCGACGCCCCACCAAACACTGAACTGCGCAGGTCAACTAGGACGAGAACTCGGCCTGGGCACCTGCGAGATTTTGTGTGTACTTATGTAAATATTTGAATGTTAGTGCCTTCTGGGAAGGGAGGAGTGTTATGTATTGATACTTTTAAGCGGGAGTTTCAAACCTGCCTATGTTTCTGATTGGCTGACAGTCCCTCCAAGATTGTATATAAGGAGGGCTGCAGCCTCTGAGTTTTTGCTGAAGTCTCACTGTAAATTAAAGAGCTGTTGTCACTTGCTTGGTTGTGCCTCTCGTTATTCCCAAACCACTTCAGGGGTGTTATGTTGTAATTTAGAACAGTCGTTAAATGAACTGTTGTAACTTGGGGATTACCTGTACTTCATACCACTAACATCATCTTTTAACCTTCTGTGACTTTTCTCCTGGTAACTTCCAATTGCTGGGGAAATGCTCTTGCTGGCTAGGGAGAGAAAGAGACCAGGAGTCAAGAACAGCTGTGTTTCAAAGAATTGGAAAATGGAGGTCCTAAATTTGCATATCTAAAGAATTTCAGGGAAAAGAACTATTTTGCTGTGGTTTCACATCACAAATCACAAGCAACATTTAGAGACAAAACCCATCCAGAACTTATTCTAAACAGGCACAAAGACTCTATGGAAATGTCCAGAGGCAATCTCATTTTCTAAATTAAGTGGAACCCCCCCCCCCCCTTTTTTTTTTCATTAGAAGTACTTGTTGGGATATCTCTTGAGGAAATCTGACATATGCATTGGGGAGTGTCAAATCCAAAGGTAGTGAAATTCCTGCCATCCTTTTTCTGAAACCCAGTGCTTAACTCTTTGTGGGTAATCACTTGGCATTCCAGTTTAAGCAATCTGTGACTCTCCAGCCATGCTGACAAGAGCTGGCAGCTCAGATTCAGCAGCAGGGTCAAGGGCACAGATTAGCTAGCATTGCTGCATATCACAGCTGACATCTGTATAAGAATTCTGGTTCTAGAAGAATCACCACATTCTTTGGAATGAGGTATGCGCAATTAATTCAGATTCAACAGAGATCCAGATAAAGTCTCACTAAAGATCAGATCCACATCTTAAGCATTTGTCTTTGTTATACTGTTAAGGATTAAAATAGTTGCATTTTGGATTTTCAATCCTATAGCTTTAGGTTTTAGAGCATTTTTTTCCTCCCAGAAATCTTCAAAACATATTGTATTTCTTTAACAAATTAATTAATCTGAATGCAATTACCATGTGTGATCTACTGCAGAATTTCAAGGGAGGATTTTAGTTTCCTGACTTAATTCTGCCACCTTGAGTTCAGAATGTGTTAAAATATGGTGGCTTTATTTATGTATTTATAAAATGTAGTGGATGCCCATCTAACCATAGAGTAACTGTGGAGAGCTTACAGTCATAAAAATGTATCTAATAACAGAGTTGGAAGGAACCTAATAAGGTCAACTAGTCCAACCCCCTCCCAAACAGAAGACCCTATACCATTTCTGACAGATGGCAGTCCAGTCTCTTCTTGAAAGCTTCCAGTAATGAAGCTCCCACAACTTCTGAAGGCAGACTGTTCTATTGGTTGATTGTTCTCACTGTCAGAAAATTTCTCCTTATTTCGAGGTTGAATCTCTCCTTGATCAGTTTCCATCCATTATTCCTTGTCTGGCCTTCAGGTGCCTTGGAAAATAGCTTGACCCCTTTCTCTCTGTGGCAGCCCCTGAAATATTGGAACACTTCTATCATGTCTCCCCTGGTCCTCCTCTTCACTAGCCATGCCCAGTTCCTGTAATCATTCTTCATACGTTTTAGTCTCCAGTCCCCTAATCATCTTGGTTGCTCTTCTCTGCACTTTTTCTAGAATCTCAACATCTTTTTTTATAGTGTGGTGACCAAAACTGGATGCAGTATTCTAGGTGTGGTCTTACTAAGGCTTTATAGAGTGGTATTAGTGAAGTGGTTCGGGAATAAAGAGAGGCACAAACAGGCTAGTGACAACAGCTCTTTAATATACAGTGAGACTTCAGCAAAAACTCAGAGGCTGCAGCCCTCCTTATATACAATCCTGGAGGAACTGTCAGCCAATCAGAAACTTAAGCAGGTTTGAATCTCCCACTGAAAAGTATCAATACATAACACCCCTCCCTTCCCAGAAGGCACTAATACTCAAATATTTACATAAGTACACACAAAATCTCACAGGTGTCCTGGCCAAGTTCTCGTTCTAGTTGACCTGCGCAGTTCAGTGTTTGGTGGGGTGTCGAGCTGGTCGGAGGGACTTTCTGTCTCTACCGGCTCCGCCAATGGAACCTCCTGGATTTTGTCCGGGGCGTGGTTATCCCCGGTTGGGAGTGGCGACTCGCTGGGGCAGCGCTGGAACCAGGGCTTGTCAGCTAAGTATTCTCTCGAACCCGGGCTTGAGTTAGCTGTTTTGGGAAAGTTGTTGTAGTTAGGTTCGGAGATGTCTAAATTGATATTTGCTTCGCCGACTATTCTTTTTCTAAGTTGGTCTATGTGGCGTTTCCAGAGTCTGTCCACCCCTACGTCTACCGTGTATGATTTTGGGCCTGTTATGCCCACTATGGTTCCTGCAACCCATAGAGGTCCGCTAGCATAATTGCAAGCGAACACCGGGGACCCCACCTGGAACTGTCTTAGTCCGGTGGTCTCTCCCTTGAAATTCTCATGTGTATAATTGGGGTGAAGCCTGTCTAACATGCACCGAAGCTTCCTGCCCATGAGGAGTTTGGCTGGGCTTCTCCCTGTGGCCGTGCATGGTGTGGCATGCTGGACAGCTAGAAATTGATCTATCCTGGCCTGCCAGTCCCCGTTATCTAGTCTGGACAATGCTTCTTTGGCCGTTCTTACGAAACCTTCAGCCAAACCATTAGAATCCGGATGGAACGGGGCCGACAGGGCATGGCGGATGCCCAGTCCGGCCAGGTAGCCCTCAAACAGAGTCGCTGTGAATTGAGGGCCGTTGTCAGATACCAGAGTATCTGGTAGGCCATGGGTGGCAAATCGTTTGCGAAGGACTTTGATGACTGCCTCGGCTGTGGTTGAGGGCATTAGTATTATTTCGAGCCATTTTGAAAAGGCATCGACTATGATTAAAAATGTTTGCCCATGGAAGGGGCCGGCAAAATCAATATGGATCCTCCCCCATGGCCCTTTTGGTTTCTCCCACTCTCGGATGGGCGCTATCGGGGGGTCGGGCCGGGACTCCTGGCAGGGTCTGCACTTCCCCACCCACTCGGATATGACTTGGTCCATGTTGGGCCACCAGACGTAACTGCGGGCTAAACTTTTCATTCGGACAATCCCTGGGTGCCCCTCGTGCAGTGACTCCAAGACCCTCGTTCGCAGTCTCGTTGGTATTACCACCCTATCACCCCACAACAAACAACCCCCTTGCATAAACAATTCGTTATGTTTGTTCACATAACCCTGGTACTCCCCACCGACCGCCTTGACCGGCCACCCTTTAAGGACCCAACCCATTACAGTATGAATTACAGGGTCCCTAGCAGAGGCTTTCGCCACCTCGCAAGAGGAAATAGGTCCCAGAGTCATAGCGTCGATCAACAGAACGGGGGTCTCCGGCGTGAGGTTGACCAGCAAATCGGGGAGGGGGCAGCGGCTGAGGGCGTCCACGTGGCCCAAGGTCCGTCCGGGTCGATGGACAAGCTGGTATGAGTAGGCCGATAGGAAAATGGCCCACCTGGTCAACCGTGGGGACAGGGCAGTGGGGGTGGGTTTGTCGCTGGCCAAAAGTCCCAGCAGGGGCCGGTGGTCAGTCACAAGTTCGAATTGACGGCCATAGAGGTATTCATGGAACTTTTTAACCCCCGCAATTGCAGCCAGAGCCTCTCTGTCCAACTGATTATAGTTCCGCTCTGCGCTTGACAGGGTGCGAGAGTAAAACGTAATGGGCACCTCTAGGCCGTTTGGCAGTCTATGGCCTAGGATGGCACCAACTCCTACGGGGGAGGCATCACAAACCAATACGAGCGGTAGCGCTGAGTTGTATTGGATTAGGAAACTGTCCTCAGATAGGAGTCTCTTTACCGCCTCAAAAGCGGCTGCTTGTGGTTTCCCCCAAACCCATGGTACATTCTTCCCCAATAGTTTGTGTAGGGGATCTGCGACGGTAGCCTTGTCCTTTAAGAACATCGAATAGAAATTGAGCAGTCCAAGGAAGGCTTGGAGCTCCGCTTTGGTCTTGGGGGCTGGTGTGTTCTTGATAGCTCTCACTTTGCTTTCGGTAGGATGGATGCCTGTGCCATCCACCCTGTACCCTAAAAATTTGACTGAGGGGACAGCGATCATGCACTTATTTTTCTTTAATTTAAGTCCCGCTTCCCTAAATCTGGAAAGGACATTTCTCACTCTGTCCCCCAGCTGGCATTCATCCTGAGCGCTGATTAAAACATCGTCAAAGTAGGGCACCACCCCCGGAAGCCCTTGCAAAAGGCACTTCATGGTGCTTTGAAATAGGCCGGGTGCGACGCTCACCCCAAACTGGAGCCTGGTGCATTTGAATGCACCCCTGTGAGTTACAATTGTCTGTGCCTCTGCCGTGGCGTCGTCGACTGGTAATTGTTGGTAGGCCTGAGCTAGGTCTAATTTGGCAAAAATTTTGCCGGGCCCCAGGGAGTGTAGTAGATGATGCACGATCAGCACCGGAT